GGCAGCAGGGCAGTTCTCATTGCCTTTAGTTGGTTAATTCCCACTTTTGGAGGTAGCGCAGTGTTGGGTGACCCTTCATTTGGTAGCTGCCATGCCTTCTAGCTCTTGGGTGTATCCTTGCAGTGTTTTATTAAGTGCATAGCTGGGTTGTCTTGAAGAATTAAATGTCAGGGAACCTCTTGGAAGGTTTAAAGGAAATTGGTTTAAGTCATTGAAATGTGTCAGCAATGAAATGAAACACTGTAGAAATACGGACAAATATTTAGTAATCATGTGCTGAGAGTGTCTCATTAACTGATAACAAGCTGTTCTATTGCATGTTATCAGTTCTGAGGATATGCTTCTGTTTCTTCTCACGCCTATGCTGACTGTAATTTGGGGGTATTTGAAATATTCCTTCGCATATCTAGATCATGATCTAATGCTGGGAAGCAATGGAAAATCCTCTTAGCAATAGCAGAGTTAGCAGAGGTGTTGATGCCCAGTTGTGGACTGATAAAGGTAAGCAGTAGATGGAAGTATTTTGTGTTGGAAAAGTTTGTAGCAATATTGTTCCATCCAACGCTTTCAACATAATTCCTTTTTTTAAATGTAAAAGGAACGTGTCGAGATATCTGTCAGTGGGGTGAGTACTAAACCTGTAGAGGTGTTACTAGCACAATTGTTGGGGTGCTCTCACAGTCCTGCCCACGCCAGGGAGCTGAGTTAAATATAACTAGTGTAGATGGTAACAGCTGGAAGTTTAGTTAGAAGTAAAAATGCCTAGTGACAAGGTAGATGCCCTTCGACAGGAAAGGGGAAAGCTATACCATGATGTCCATATCTTGGAATTCACTTAAATCTCTCAGGTAAAACTAGGTCTTGCTGGATCCTTAATGGGAGATATCCAAGGAGTCATGGATGTGCTGATAAAAATTCAGTGAGGAATATTTTCCTTCTGTGCTGGTAGTAATCAAATAACTTGCCAGGTGTTAGAGGGCAGTTGGAAATGTTTTATTTTTGGTAAAGAAAATTGAGGGTCTTGGTTCTTTATTGTGTAAAGCAATATGCAAATTTTAATATAAAAATAAAGACTTTCTGGCCTTGCTAACTTCATGTTTAGCTGAACATTTTGGTTGATTTAGTTGACCATCTAGTTGATCAACTGACTAACAGATGTAAATTTAATTAAATGCAATACATTTTGAAACCTAAACTATAGAGTGATTTTGTATAAATTTTGTATAAATTATGTCAAAATAAGCTGATTTAAAACATCTAGCCTCCTCTCTTACTGTAAACCAGATCAATTATTCTGGGAAGCTGCCTGCATGCATTTTTTTTTCCAAAATAAGAAAAGATTAATAAGTACTTAGCTTTAAAGACCAAAATGTGCCATTGCGTGATGTCATTGTTGTTGTGACGGAGATGAAGTGTGATGGTTTGGATTCTCAACTCTCCAGTGCTGTTCTTCCAGCAGAGCTCAACCAGCCGCTGCTGCCTGCACGCTGGATGCTGGACTGGGCTTCTGGGTTGGAGCCAGCCCCCAGCTCCATCCTTTCTGCTCCTTTTCCCGGTGCTCATGTTGAGAATAAGAGCGAGTCACTGATTGAAGGCTGTTCTGAAAGCCCACAGATGCCACTCACTTTTCTTTTCATGCCTCTAGCTGTGGAGGTGGGAGTTGTGTGTTTCTGCTTCCCACAAGTGCTTCCCCTTGGCTAGTTTGAAGGGGTTCCCTGCTGGTCCTGTTCAGGTGTCCCTCTGTCACAGTCATAGGGAGCCTTCTTGCCTGATACAGGTGTTGGAGTTATTTCAACCTAAGTCTCCCTCCAGAGGACTTCAGTGGCTGGACTAGATAATCTTCAAGGTCTTTTCTAACCTAGATGATTCTGTGATTCACATTGTTACTCCTATATTATTTCCAACTGAAAATGGCAGAACATCTAGAAATCCTAGGTGTGTGGTGGCTGCAACCACCGAGAGCAGCTCTGCATCATCCACGCAGCCAGATAAACATACTCAAACATGTTCCATTTGTTGTGTGTTGTGAATACTTGTGTGACTGGTGCTACAATTGCCCTGCATTCAAGCTTGAGTGGTTCTGCACAGGCAGACACGTTTGGTGCGTTGTGGTTGTCTCAAGCCTCCTGTTAGGATGTATCAACCAACCTCAGCTCTCAGCTCTCTCTTCTACTGAAGTTACTTTTAATTTTTTAATTATATTTATTTACTTATTAACTTATTGATTAATTTAATGCCTAGAATGTGTTACTACTTTGTATGACATCTTACCCTAAGAGATCTTGCTATATCTTACATATTACACGACTGTAACACCACAGCAAAAGTTAAGATTTCTGACGTGCCTGATTCTGGAATAGAATTTAATTAAGTTTAATAGCAGTCATTTCAGAAAGGATAGTCTCAATATAGCTTACGCTATCTATAGAGTAGTCAATTTGCAGTTTGCTTTGTGGAATAATGTCTGTTTATCCATCAGAATATTAGTGCTGGGCAGCAGGGACAGCAGGAAAGCCCGTCATGAGAAGTGTTTCTAACTTCCAGTTTTACGGGACAGGTGCATTACAGAAGCAAATATTGAACCTAGTTGAAACAGATGGCAACCTGTAGTTAGCTCTTTTTCTTTTAAAAGGAGAAATACAAGAAATTACAGTCATGCAGAATTTGATGTGTTCCAGTTGAATGCTAATTGTGACAGTTGTCTGTGGCTTTGTAACAAGGGTGGTTTTGTTTAGCCATAAATGTCACAGCCAACGGGGTCAAATACTTATCCAAAGTGGCTGTGTGTAAACTGGCTTGCAAGCCAACTATGTCGAAGCAGAGTTTGTTCATTTGAGTAAATTTTTTCTTTGAATTTGTGTCTGAGTCTGAGCGGATGTAAAATCCCACTGGAGAGCAAGCCAGAGGCTTAAGTGTTGGAAACACGCAAGTGCCTCTCTGCATGTCTACCTTTCAGCACGGAAAGGTGCTTCTCCACCCTTTGCTGTTGCTGTGCATTATTTTTGGCAGTAGTGTCCCCAAACTTTCTGAACTGATGGCCACAGCAAGTGCCGGGACAGCTCTGTTCTGTGGTGCCTAATTCTGGCTCTCAGCTCACTTCCCAACTCAATAGATATTTTTTTCTCTTTTCTCCCCTGCATTTTAGTTTTCTGCTTTTTTTTTTTTTTAAGATTTAGCCTCCTTTTAATCCCAAGTTCTTTAATTCATAGTAGTATTTTCTGTGACTTGCTGTCATAGAAACAAGGGCTTTAGAGGACCTTATGAGCTTGTGTAATCCACTTCACTACCTCAAGGAAAAAACTGCTCTTTTTAGACCAACTCTGGCAGACGTCTGTCTCACCTATTTTTAAGGACCTCCAACGAAGCAGATTGCATGACCTCTCTGGGTGATCAGCCCGGTGCCTTGCTTTTTTAATACTGTTTCTGAGATCCTGCCCGTTGCAGTTTAAGTCAGATTCTTTCACCAAAATGTCTCTATCCAGAGAAAACCATGTTGCTGATTTAAAAACTATTCTGCTCAGACCTCTCTAGTCCATACTTTTACTTTGAGATTAAGTTTTTGAACTTAATCTCTTGACCCTTAGGGCATTTGCAAATCAGTTAATTTTAGTTCCATCTTATCATGTGGTCCATACAGGTAGTATTGCCTTGTTTGCATTGGTTAAAACCTAACTGTGCGGCTGCGCTTTTGCTGCGTTACAGCTGCAACCTCCCTCAGTCTCCTCCCTGACAGCATGTGCGGAGTATGAAACGCTTGTTTGTGTAGACAAAGGCTAAACTACATTGCTCTTATCCTTATTGTCACTGAAAACAGAGGTCCCCACATCATTACAGTGTCCCATTTGGAGATCCTGCTGTGGCATTTAATTTTTTCCTGGGCTATCTGAGCTGGCACCTTGAGTTGTCCCTCTGCCTCTCTTGGTGTCTCTACTCCCGAGTTAGGAGGGTCCTTCTCTCATTCCACTGATTTGCCTGTTATTATACATATGGAAGTTGCTTTCGTCTTCGGCTGAGTAGCAGTTTTCTCTTATTGTGCCATATTTTTAAAGATCTCTGCTTAAGTACAGCTTTTTAAACATTGTTTTTCGTGCTGCTTCAGCTTTCTGTGAAGCAATCTGCCGTTTAGTTTGTGAAGTATAGCATACTTAAAAAAATTTGCCTTGTAACTTGGATAGCCCCATAGCAAGTAAGTTGGCATTGCACATTTTCTGACTTGCAGGTACAAGCTTGTACCCAGGGAGCGTAGCCAGGAGGGGCTGGAAGGCAAAGCTGTGATGACATGTTCAGTCTCCAGGTGGAGGGCCAAGAGGGCAGCTGTGCGGCGCTGGGTTGCATTCCAATGTGCTGATCCGTGGAACAGCGTTGGCATACACTTTGGAAGCTGCTGCTTGCTCTCCTGGCTGTAGGGAAGGGGCTGAGGTGATGGCAGGGAAGGAGGGGGTGAGTCTTCGCAGAATATTTTTGTATGATCATGCCCTATTCTGAGCAAGCTGGACATTTGGAGCCTTGGCATTTCTTTGTGGTGTGGTTGTGTATCGTGCTGCCTCTGGTAGCTCAAAAGTTAATTACCCCAGAGAGGGTTGTTGAGATTTTTTTTTTCTCCTTGATTCCTGAACGGCTTAATTAAGTTGTAAGGAAGTTATATTTTCTCACTACTTGGGGGCTTAATGGGGTGGAGGCTTTGGAAACAGTTTAACAATTTCACATTTTATATGCTCTAATGAATTTCCCAGGATTTTGGAAGGGTTGTATCCAACTTTAGTATCGTAATTTCCAGAGTTTTATTTATGCTAAAATAAGTTAGTTTGGATTAAGAGGCACAAAGAGCCGACAGATTACAAATGAACTAATGAAGACATCGTTTCTTTTGGATAAAGAGCGTGATTCACAGTTGTGACTTGTACTGAAGTACTGCAGACCATGAGTTTCACCAGGACCACAAGCTGGCAATGGGGTTCCTCTTCCCTCCCCTGTTGTTTGAAACCTGTGTTTGATTTCAGGTGCAGAAAAGAGAGGGTTTGCAAGGACCAGAAACAACTCTGAATCTGCAAGAACTCCCCAGAACTTCGATAGGAAGAGGCAACTCTCTCAATCGCAGACAGAAACAATGAACAATTCAGACAGCAGAATAAATCCTAGACAACTGGGAACTCCCAGAGGTATTAAAGCAGAGTGCATACAATCTTCAGGAATAAGCTGCCTTGAAGCATGTGCTCAGCACTATTAAAAGATGGGCTGGGATGAATGCTCTTAACTCTAAAATGAGCTGTAAAAGACTGTCGATTATTTGTAAAATATGATTATTCCAGGCTTTTTTGGTGCTCTGAAGTGGGGTGCCAGTATTTCTAGGGAAACTGTTCTCAGAAATTCAACTTTGAATACAAAGCCTCTGTACAGCTGCTGTTAAGATACATGGACAAGTTTGGTGGGCAAGATAACACTTATGAATTTTTGTTTGCAGGAGGATCCTATGCTGCTGTCCCAACATCAGGTGATAGAAAGAATCTAAATAAACCCACTCGAGGGAGGAAGAAGAGTATATTTGAAGCCTACATGTCAAAAGAAGATGTTTCAGCAGGACTGAAAAGGGGAGAGCTAATTCAGGTGCTTGGAACATACAACGCCCATGCTCTTGCGATAAGTCTGTGGGAATCACAGGCAGTTTTTTGGAAGTCAATGTCAGTTGGTTGCATGACAGGGAATTGATGTACCACTTGTAGATGCTAGAGGAAGATTTTTCCCTTTCTTAGAAGGTTCTAGAAGTGGAATGAAATCTTTTATGTTCAGCTGAAGTATAGTTTTTCGTTTGATGTCATGTTCTGTAAAATTCCTTATCCACACTCATGATGAATTGCAGAGATCTGGTTGGATGGTCTGCTAGCTGTGATAGTCATTATTGTGCAGACACTTTCTTTTACAAATGTTGCTCACAAACACAGCAGGTGCTGGCAGCCTTTGTCTTTGTCAGTGTAAGTAAAAATGAATGCCCTTAGCAAGATACTTCTTGCTGAAATTCCTCACAAAGATGTTTATTAGTCCTCAGCAATTAGATGCAGACCTCTCTGCTTTCAGATCTACTCTTCTTTCTATCTATCAGCTCTTCCCAGAAGTCTCCCTCCCCCCAAAAAAAGGGAGAGGGATGGTGCAAGTAATGCTGTGGTTCTTGGGGTCTCTTAGGGCTGTGCAGGGCACTGTAATAACTTGTTATAAACTCTGATGCAGCTGGTTAACCAAATGTCAAATGGCCAAGCAGTGGTACTGGAGCCTTGATTTCCTTGCATAATTTTCTTTGCAGTCCCCTCAAGTCAAAGGGCTGACCCAGTCACTGATGACAGTGTATGGTTTACTGAAGTAAGGCACAGGTAGTAGATGGAGCTGAAGAGCCCATCAAGATACAGAAAATCATTTGCATGTACGTGTATGGTTATTTGCCTGAGCAGCTAGCAATAAGTGTGTTCTCATTTTACAGATTCTAAAGATCAGAGATTGGACTTTGTGCTTCCATTTGGAGCAGCAAAACTTCAGTCATAATTAGGCAACAAGTCTTCTCTGAGTATCTAGCAAAATGTGGGAGTGGACCTGTCATTTGTGTGGGTATCTGGATCTCAGAAGGAGTTTTGCATAAAGGCAGGCAGGGCTGAAGTTCCCTGAGGAGTAGGAGAAGAGGATAGCGTCCTAGAACCACTGTTGTAGTACAGTCCTCAACATGGTGTAATGTTCTTCAGGAACTGGTGTCCTAGTAAGACCAGACTGTCTGGGGAAAACAGGCAGGTGGAAGTCAGTGAGGGCATGACAGACACTCACGCTGAGGCATCACTTACCCAAACACACATGGGTGTGTTGCTGTTTAATTAGTGTTGTAATGCTGGTGAGGTTCTGATTACTTACTTTCATCAATGTGTTGAAGCTGAAAATGGCATCACCTCACTTTTTGTCTGATTTCTTGTTATAATTGCATAGTAATTATTGTACAATAATATAGTGGCATAATTTCTGGAGGTGTGATGAGGATTCCACATATAAGATCACCTGATTCCACCCTGAAGACCAAGCTGATGAGCTCTTAGCTTTCAGAAAAATGACCATGTGATATATCCCTGCTGATGATCAGAGTGGCCCACTGGGCTACCCAGACCTTAGGCCAGTGCCTTTTTAAAGGCTGTCATAGACATCTACAGTGGGAAGCAAATGATGAGGGAAAAAATTGGATCCTCAAGCTGGGACTTCCCCCCATGGCTGCAGTAGCATGTGGCAGCAACTAAAGCTTCTGCCTTACCTTCAGGAGTGTGTTTGGCACCTGTTTTTGGTAACACAGCTTGATATCATTAAGTGCAGTGTGTTTAGACTGCCTATGAGGTCGAGTGCAGCTGCAGATGAGGCACATCAGACTATGACTACTACCTGAGAACCCCACTGAAATGCTGAGTCCCAGAGGAGCTGTGATTGCATGCTCTCTGGCGAGAGACTCCCTAGTTCTTGTAAATGCGTAGTGTCTACTCCAGGTCATGTGCTGCGTAACTGGAGGAATCGTATGTGCTTTCTTAGGCTGTGTCTGTTTTCCTTTTATCCAGTTCCACATCTCAGGGAAACAACTGAGGCTGTAGAAGCTGGATTTAATCATTTAGGGCTGAGTGTCAGGTCATGGGCATCCCAGCTCAGTATCTCTCATCTTCAGCTCATTCATCCTTATGATCTCAGCAAGACCAGTCATCACTGCAGTCTCAACCAGGATAGGCGAGATCCTGAAAACTACTTCAGTGAATTGACAAATATTCAGCACTACTCTGTACAGTGGTAAGAGACATAATGAACAAATACCTGTTGTGTTAATCCCCAAAAGCAGAGTGTTGGTCTGGTATGGTAATCTGCAAAAATGCTCCATAAGAGCCTGTGGAAGAAAAGAACAGACCATTGGTCTGAAGAAGCATGACTCTGAGCAGGGGCCGTCCCCTGGAGCATCCTGGAAACACTGGATATGCATGTATTTGTGTGAGAACTTGAGAGATCTAGAGAAAAAAAGACTCCACCGTAAACTCTGAGGATGTTGCTGGACCCTGGCAATGCAGCTATGCAAGTAAATGCTCCTGAAAGCCCAACCCACGGAAACTACTGGCAGACATGGAGATCGCTCTGATAAAACATGAGTGCTGGGAAGATTAAGCAGTCCTAGATCAGGAAGAACAGAAGTGCTATCTTTATGGGTGCTGACGTCTGTCAATAATATTAGTCTTAATGGTTTCTGGTATTGTGTCTGTCATAATTCAGTTTTTGATAGGTAGCATGAAGAAGTGTGCCCTGAGGGATTCCTGGATTTGTTTATGCGATATGTGCTGTCCTTCCACAAGAAACGGGATCTAAGCTCAGGCTCTTAAGAGTGCGTAGGCTTCCCACTTCCCCACCCCTAAAACTGTCTGCAGTGAGCAAACACCCAAGCATATCAGATTGGTTGGAATCACATCGGCTGGTCTGAAGGCAAACAAGATTGAATAACTTCTGTGTAGTTACGTAAGCGGATGGTGTTGACTATACACAACAGATGAAGTCAGGTTATGTATTAAGGAACATTGACCCAAAGGACCATAATCATCTCATGAAGCACCAGCCAGAAACTCGTGTCTGTTCCACGCCTCCAGTGTCTCCTAGACCCTCCCTGCAGGGCTGCTGGGGTCAGGCAGTGAGAGTGCTCCGCATACAGAGGTGCAGAGCCTGCTTTGCCGTTAAGAGGGTGTTTTTACTTGAAAAGCTGCTGTTCTGTGGGTATGAAGGCTGGGGTTTCCCTGATTTTCATGGATTGTTTTTTTCAAAGGTGGACTTGATAGCAAGCAGATACTTGAACCCTGATTTTTTTTTTTTTTTTTTTTTTTTTTTTTTTTTTTTTTTTATGGTAGCTGTTATAAACTGCTTGATTTGAGATGCTTGAAGTTTAGTCTGAGTAGTACCTGCCCTGGTTCTAGCAGAGCAACTTGAGAAATCATCACAATCATGACCCATTTGTACCTTGCTGGGGAAGCTCAATAATGTTAGAAACTTTTTTTTGGCAAGTTTGTGTGAACTGACTTAAGACATCACAAAGTGTTTTAGAAACCTTCCCGCAAACCTTTCTCTTCCCTTTCAAAACAAAGGCCCTACTGACATAAACCCACTGATAAATATAGCAGCTATTATTTGCAAACTATTGTAAAATAATACATTAGTGTGACATCATGAGACTCTGCAGCCAGATCCTCACCCCCTAATACACATATGAGAACAGTTGTTCGCTGCAGATGGGGAGAGTGACTGGTTCCAGATATGATATCACAGCGTGAAATGTACAACATTGTAAATAGGATTTTCATAGGCACAGATAATAGGGCCCATCTGCTTTCTAAGATAAATTTTGGGAGTTCCTTGCTTAAAGGAAAGAGCTGAAGTATTTTAATGCTACTTGACGTAAGAATTCTAATGCTGATCATAATTAGATAGAGTGTATAAAATGTAGAGAAACGCGCTGCACTGAAAACATGGTAACACTTTGCTCATCTGTGTGTTTGCTGGAGCTGGGCATCCATGTGCACGTAGCCGCTCTGGCGCCTTCTGGGCCATAGACACAAAACCTGATTTTTCACGCGCATAATTGGCATTTGCACCTGGCTGATTGACAGCTGTCTCAAACTATTCAAGGAGATTCTGCAGAGTAACACAGGGTATCCCCTCATCTGCTCTGTGCTGGTGGGTAGGTGCTGGTATGGGAATTGTTTCACTTGTCAAGCAGAGCAACCATCCCTTTTTGCATTTTTTCCTTTCTTTCTGTAGCAGCTTCCTTTACTAACAGCATATTAGTTTGGATGGCTGATTCTGTGAAATAAGGAGAGAAAAAAAGACCATTGAGAGTTTTCCATTCGTGGGTACCAGTGCTAATAGAGGCTGATGACAGAAGTTAGCTTTTGCTTTGCCTAAGCATAAAGTATATCCCCAGGGTTGCTCCCAGTGGGTTGTCTTTGTTTTCGTGCTGTTGTCCTGGGTTGTGCCTGCCATGTGGCTAGTGTGCTCATTAATACTAGTTACATAAGGCACAAAATAAGACATCGCAGCGAAGTATTCAGATAATACCTAAAGAATATAGAATATATGGTGCTGGCATTTCCAAACTTAAGCAAATAAAAACAATGGAAAACATAAATCTGCAAATTCTTCTTCAAGGCAGCAAAACTTTCACGTGTAATCAGCTTTATTTTCCTATCGTCTGAGTGTTTCCCAGAATACATAAAAAATTATATGATGCAGTAAATTTTAAAGGAAGCAATTCCTGTGAGAGGTTCCTATGATTGCTTAACACAGAAGTGCAAACAGATGGAATCTGTTCATATAACAAATTGGCCAACGTTATTTCAATACACAAGTAGAGAAAACTTTAAAGTTTCAGCCCAAAGCAGAAGCCTGTCTGAAGGCAGGTACCTAGTTGTATTTCCGTAAGAATCAAATGCTGTCAGTTTTAACTGCAGTCACCCAAATCACAATTCCCAAGACCCTCTTGGGATGGGAACGTCGCTGTTGCCTAGCCTGTAAGTTCTTGGTTGGCTCTCCCTTTCTCTTGGATGGGCCTGAGCGCAAGCACCAAGACTGGTTGGTTTACTTCTGAGGGGTGATGTGAATTTATTGCAGGTGACTTGAGCTTTGAGTTGGTAGATAACAAAGCAGAAATAGATAGACCATGGAGTTTCAAATGTTTTAAAGACAGTTTGACTTTAAACATGTCAAACAGAATTTAATCCTGTAGACTTTAAATGTTTGTTTTTGGAAAATCCTTCTGATTCTTCTTTGGAAATGTTCTTTATCACTGCATTACTGCTACTGTCTGTTTGCAGGAACAGCCTGAGCAGCCAGAGCCCTTATAACCTGCTGCCATGCAAGCTCAGTAGGTCAGCTTTTCCTCTTTCCTCCTGTCCTCCAAAATAAGCAAACCCAACATTCTGCTTTTCCAAAACAGAGCAAAACAAATTGTTTCTGTTGTCTGTCTGTTAACAAAGTTGGTGGATGCTCAGCAGAAAATGTGTGAAGGGAAAAGGAGGGCTTGGATCCTCAGTTCACCCAGTAGCAGCAAGAACTAATGATTCAACATCTCTTCGATGACAGACTGCAGTAGATCAGTTTAAGCCTATCATGAAACTGCCTTTTGGTTTGAAATTGCTCAGATGCTAAGTTGTCAAGACTTGAAATGTATAATGGAAATTTAGATGTATCTCTCATGTTTCACAGTAGATATATTACCCACAGCTCTCTAATTTAACTGATGTTATATAAAATTAATAAGATTCAGGCATAATCTTTCTCCTTCTTCTCTTTTTTTAAGGGACCCTTGAGAATAAATCCTAAGAAGTACCATGAAGCCTTCATTCCATCTCCAGTAAGTGTAATTTTATAATGCTTTAAGTTCATAAGTAAAGGTGAATTTAGATAGGAGTTATGCTGTGCAATAAAGGTCACTCTGAGGTGAATGAGTTGGAATAAATGAACATGATCTGGATTTTCTTTTAAATCAAATATTCCCAAACAAATCCTGCATTTTCATACCTCAGAGAGCTACTTACTTAGCTTGTGCTGAAACTGGGGATACTGCTGGATCCCACGGCAGCCAGCTGAAGTCAGGTTTGAGGACCACCAGATAGCGTAATTGGAAACCCTTGGTTTATGGCTGCAGAGGTTTTATAGATTTTCCACTGATTTAAGTTAATCTTCCCTAAACAAATATGCTCCCATTTTCAATCTGCTGCATGAGCTAATTTGAAAAGCCATTCCAGAAATAATATGCGTGATTCCTTTTCATGTGCCCGCTTTTGCATGAACTGTATCTTGGTTGGCTTGGGATGTGCTTCTGTCACATGGGACTGGCTTGTGCCTCTTCTCTCTTCCCTTATTTTGACAGAAAAGAAGGGCTCTTGCAGTTTCAGGGACTTCCAGTAGGGAAGGTGACCTCACAGCTGGCATAGCCAAGGCTTTTTATCTGGAACTGACTTGGTCAAAATGTTACTGTCAGTGAGAGTTTCATATTGAAATATTTTGTTGGTGTGGGGGAGAGAAGGCAGAGCCTGCCCTGAGACAGTGAAACACTAACTCTGTTGTCCCTGCTACTGACAGTGCTATTGTTTTGGGGCTTGGATTGAAAGCCTTGAAATTCATAGCATTGTCAATTCATGTTGTTGATTTGGAATAATGTTTTGGAGTCCGCTTTGTTAGAGGAGGCTGGCACTACAGGGGTGAAGAAGGTCAGAGGTGCACAAAGTAGATTAAGATTAACTAGAGGAAGAAGTGGAGAGCAGCTCTCCAGTACATCAATAGAGCAAGCACTGTGTGAAAGGAACTGTCATCCTTCTTTTACCAGGTGTCCTTATAGGTGTGGTAGGTGTAAGCTATTAAACATATTTTCTGAAATTACAAAATGCAAGGTTAAATGAGAACTCCAGCTACTCACGTGAGGTTAATTTTATGTGAAGCTTTACCCCTGATCACCCGTGGTGCCCAGCTTTTGTGATTGCTCGGGGCTCTGCATGCAGGAATACATACATTAAGGAGGGTTAGCTGAGGTTGTTATCTCAGCTATCTTTCTACTTTTCTGCCCTTTGTGGAGCTGAATGCCAGAACTAACCTTGTCCCTGATAACAAGCAGAATCAACACCTGGATGAAGAAGACTCATGACTGGTGTGGACATAGTCCTTAAGACAGGTGCTTTAGGAAGCTTATTCTCTGCATAACATTATTTGCCATAATGAAGGGTTTGCAGCCTTCATGTTCTGCAGGACTTCCCATCATTACCAGATACTCCAAGACCTGCAACTGTGAAAAATCACCCTTTCTTTCCTGCTGTTGACTAGGGCACTGTACCCTTTTCTCCTTAGCTCTGACTTGGCTGTGGTTTCATGGAGTTCAAATGCAACAGCTGTTCACCTTCAAACACCACAAGTCCCAGGGTGTTTCTTGCTGCAGATGTGCTCTGTCTGCTTGTCTCATTGTTGCATGAAGACTTGAGGGGAAGGCCCAGGACCTTTCTCTTGAAAGCTACCCAGAGAACTGACCTGAGCATTTAAATCTCTGCTTTGCATCTTATGTCTTCCCTGCACACAGCAGTGAGGTTGGAAACAATGGCATTGTCAATGTGAAGGATGATACTGCTGAGTGTGAGTGATGGGGTGACTGTGGCTGTGCTGGGCTTGTGGCAGACACTTCCAGAGCAGATGAAAGCACTGCAGATCTCCCTTTTGTCAGGGGGATAGAGAGCACTGCCAGTGTTACTCACAGGTGGCCATGGAGCAGTAAAAGCCCTGTGCTCCCTGGAGAGGGCTGCAGAAGTCTTGAAGCGGTTGTGGCTAATACAGTGTATGCACCCTGGGGACAGCTGAGACTTTGCAAGTGATTGTGTTCTGTTGTGATTTGGTGCCATTGTAATTGCATTAGTAATCTGAAGTGCCAGCTGTGCAGAGTAGGGGATGCTGAGGGAAAAAGTGGGATGAACAAGTGTTCTTGGAAGTACATAAGTTCGCATGAGCCTGGAGCTCAAGATACAGCAATGTTTCTTTTTGGAGGCAAAACCAAAACTCCCAAAAATTTCCTAATTACAGCTTTGTTGCAGACATTGAAATTAACTGCTGTAAAATAGGTGTGCATCCACATATATAACTGTGTGTGTAGATACAGGGGTATATTGTTTGGGATGAGAGTGACTGGTTGCAATTCAGGACAAGACTCTTGCAGAGTATGGAGATGCAGCTTTAACTAGATGGTGTGACAGATCAGGCACCTTTGCAGGGGGTGGGAGAAAGGGTCTGCCTTGTGTTTTCATGGACAGAGGAGAGAAGGAAAAAAGTGTAGAACAAGCAAATTATCATAAATGCCAACCTGTGTCCTGTGGTGCAGAGCAGCTATAGGTACAGACAAAAAAAGCAGACATTTTCTTTAAAAAGTGGCTTTGAACTTTTCTTTTTATGTATGTAATGGATTTAGGTAAAAGAGCTGGGGCAGAAGGGAAAGTGTGGGGAGAAATGAGGAATAAGACCATGTGTAAAAAATCTGGCTTTTTGAAAAGAACAGTTTCCAATTTGAATTATGTTGGTCCAAGAGGCTTTGCAATTTTTCTGCATCTTGTCATGGGAGGCAGCTTTCACACAGCTGTTGAGCTGCTGTTGCTTTTCTTTCTAAGAGTAATTTGGTCTCTTGGAGGACAGCCTTAGTTTCACATCATGGCAGGGTTCTGCCGTTTTATTGTTTTGGTATCTAAGCAGAGTAAGATATTTATGTGATATTAGGGCTTCATGTTTTCAGGTTATAAAAGAAGTTTTTCTTGGAGACTGAGCACACTGGTAGTTCTGATTGGATTTACTCAAGCATATGAGACTCAGGAGTGTGTATCTGAGTAATGACTAAAGTTGTGATTATGATTTTAATTCTTGTGAGGCTGTTTTTTTCATTGAATGATAATGAAGTACTAATCTAAAGAAACTCATCCTCTTTCTTTGTACCTCAAAACTATGCAAAGCTCTAGCTCTCTAGAAAAACTGTTGGCTGCTCATCTTCGTATGAAATGTTCACATTGATATGTTCATGGTACTGTAAACAAGACACATAGAATCTTTCATATATTGGATTATACGGAAACAAATGAAAGCAGCAAGAGCACAGTCAATAATTAGCCAAAAAAAGGAGAAAACTGGAAGTTCTTTAAAAATGAAAACTTTTGTGTTGGCATTTTAAGGAAACTTCATCTTTATTTACCCCATGAAGATAAACCTTCTGAACTAAATCTAGATTATCTGATTGCCAAACATGTCTGGGATGGATAATCCTAGTGTGTACAGTTAGTAGAGGCTCTTGTGCAAGGATGTTAACCCAGAGTATTGAGAGAAGGTGTCCTAGCATGTCTGTTACAGTAAAAGATCTTCTGACTTGCAGTTGACATCTGTAGATTCCAAATATTGATGACTCTTCTGGCATTAGTTTTGATAGATGCAGAATATATGGTGTTCACTCATTTGAAAAAAAAGAGACTGCGTCCTTCAGGCAGCTTTCGTGGACTGGCCTGCTGATCCTGGAGCTGCATGTCCCTGCTTTCCCATCTCACCAGGAGAGCAGCATCCACCTCTGCACCGGGCACTTCGCAGAGACTGTCTTGTAAACATTCTGAACAATAGCTCTGAGTGCCTGAGTTGAGAACTGAATGTGTGAAGAGCTGTGATTGCAGAAAACTCTACCCATTCCCAAGAGTAACTGTGGAGGAACTGAGCAGAGCTTGCAGACAATACATCTTGAGGGCTTGGCTCTGTCTTGAATAAATAGTGTGGAACTACTGTGCTGGCACATCCATACAAAGGATCTTATTTGCTGAAAGATACTGCATGTTGAAGGGCATATGGTGAATGTTTCATTTCTGTGCACAACTGCAGGATGTTTGTCTCACCAGTGTGTGTGTGTCTTTTTTTGATGACTGTTTTAAACATCATAACAACTGTAATTTAATATGTTTGGGTCTGGCATTTATTTTTCTTCCTCTTTGACTAGGATGGGACTCGCGATATCTTTATTGATGGAGTGGTTGCTCGCAACAGAGCCCTGAATGGTGACATCGTGGTAGTGAAACTGCTTCCCAAGGAGCAATGGAAGGTCAGTTCAGTATATTTTTCTGTGATTTAACAGAAGAGCTTATTACTGTTTTCTTCATTAAACTTAGGGCCTGAGACAGAGAATAGAGAATTTCCTACAAATCAGATTAGCTAAATTGCCATTTATGCTGCTGTAGATTAAAACACTTTATCCATTGCAACATTTGGAAGAAGTGATGCCTAAAGTGTTGAAGCCTTACTCTTTACATGATATGGCCTTCCTTATCACTGTATAGAGAAGTCTGACAACAAGGCTGGTTCAAAGCATGGTTGTCAGAGGTGATTTTTGAGATCTGTCATTTAGTTGTCTTCATGCTGTGGTATTGGATAGCTCTATGTAGGTGTTTGCAGTTGCTCATGCATTTGACAAGTGCTGTTGACAAAGCTTCATTAATGATTAACTCTTGCTAATTTGTGGGTCCTCAGTCCATGGAAAATTTATCTTGTCACAGCTCCAGATTTTGTGGTAATACCCTTATTTACATGAATGAAGACTGTGTGAAATTATTGGAGCAATGCAAATGTGGGACAATGCATTTTTCACTTTCATGCCTGAGAATTTCACTAAGATCACTGTCTCTGGGTTTTTTCTTCTTTCACTGATCAAACTCAAAGTCCTTTCAAACATCTGGATAATTTTTTCTTGTTTGCAGGTTTAACATTGTCAATGCAGTGAAAGTTCTTAATCCTTTTCTCTAGCTGCTGGTCGATGTAAGCTACAGTTAGCAATTTTGACATGACAGAACTGCCACAAATTGTTTTCCAAACATGATTTCTGAACTCTTCGTGAGAATTTAAAGACTATTGTATGTCTCTTGGAGAAAAGTAATAGTGAGGGTGATTCCAGCAAGGTGGGAGACTGGTCTTGAATTACTTTAGCCTGCAGTTTTTTACTCATTCTAGCTACTTCCTCTGCCTGTCTTTGTTTTAAGTTATGGGGTTTTAGGCTTGCAAATGCAAGGTCTTTAGTGTGGTCATTTGCTGAACCTTATATTCTCTGTTTAAATCTAATAGCAATGCATAAAATAAGTAAACAACCCAAGTATTTATTGACACATGCAAATGCAAAACTACCTTGTACAAAAGGCAAATGATAAGTGGGATCTAACCTACTGCAGGTATATCCATATACAAGTATAGAAAAGAGGTCTGCTGCTATCTATGTAACCTCTGAGAACCAGTTTTGAGGGTCAAAGCAAAATTTCTTTGATAGCCATTCAAGAGTCCAAATCAGAGTTCACTAAAGCTGTGATGATTACTATATGTTTGGATCACCAAATCCGTATACATAAATTATCTTTTGCATAAGACTATATCATATAGTTGGAAAAATGGAATAGTTCGGGTGCTTAGATCCTTTGCCAGGACCTGCCAGCACAAGAGCTTCTTTGTAGGCTGGATAGAGGTTGCCTGAGCTGGAAGCTTTGTCTGTGATTTTCCATTTATATCTATCTGGCTCTAAACAAAGATAACACCTCTCTCTCACTTATATACTCATACCTTCATATGTTCAACAGTAATGTTCTTTTATGAATATAAGAGGAAAGGTTCAGTTTCTCTCTGTCCTGGACAAATGCTAGAAAATATAGAACTAGTGGAGAAGTGGTGTCTGACTGCAAGGAGACAATTCAGAAGACTTCAGTGTTTTATAGTATGATTATGATTCTTTTGTGGTGAATTTAACCTTGCCAAATGAAGTAGCTGGAACATGCCAGTCATGTTTTTCAGCCACACAGGTGCTGCCCTATGTAGTCTCATTTTTTGTTTCTTGCCATCAGCAACTTAATCAGTGATGACATCCCTTTTCCCCTGCTCCCTGAATCTCTTGCTATGCGCTCATGTTTGTATTAGTTCTTTGGGAAAGGTGCCACTAAATTGCACTGAAAGATACTGCATTCTGCCAAGTAATTCATACTGATTAATGATAAACTGTCGCAACCTATTTTAGGTTTTTCCATTTGTTTAATCTCATGCTGCTGCAAAGCTGCCACATAGGTGTCTTGAGGGTTTTCTTCTTCCCGTTGGGCCTTTGGAACAAGCTGAACAGCTTCAATTATTTCATTGAAAAATGTAAATTAGATGTATGGTATAACTGATGTTCTCAGAGGAGACTTTACAGGCTCTGTACATATTGGTTTGTTAGGACTGAGATGTGCGTGCTGATCATTTTTATGGTTCACTATTCCCAGCCCATTAGTCTGTGCTCCGGTGAGAACTGAGCTGGGCTTTTTGCTAGTAAACCAGTGTCTTGCACAAGATAAGGTTGCTGTTACAGCAACCTTAATGAGTCTGTGCCTTCTTATTTTCAAGCACCCTGGATGGCCTCTGGATGCTCTGAGGGAAGATCTTCCTGTTGCTAGTGCGGGTGGTTGCTGCCATGCAAAGTCACTGCATAACGCTCACCCCAGTAATGGCAGGAGCTGACTTAGCTGGAACCTTGGTTCAGTTTATGTGTGTAAATGGGATGAATGGGGAAAACCTGTGACTGGTGAAACTATGAATTTTGGATAGGGAAATCTGTGTGTTTGCTTGAAGAGTTGAGGAAGTTAGGAGCTGCCCTGTACCCAGTGAGTCAGTCTTTGCCTGTGAGAGAAAAACACCAGCTGGAGAGCAGTTACTCCAGGGATATATTGTGTTCTGTTGAGCCTGTAATGGTGATGCCTTACACACAGCCATAAATGCCACAGTGAATTGTAAGGGGATGGTGAAATACTCTAGATGTGTGGTTATACTTTAAGTAACACCTTCTTGAGAGGGACAGCAGTATTTTCTTCCTCCAGCCCTCCACTTCCTGGCTCAGTGGTGGGAAATTTATCAGGCTTGAATTTCTCAACATCATGTCCTTCCCAGCATGTACATCAAGTGCTTGGATGAGCTACCATGGTCCTCCCTGTGCTTATTCTGTCTGGTCTTAAAGCTCTGTTTGTTCATACATCCTCTGGGACAGCTGCTTGCTGTTCAGCGATGATCAGTTTGTCAGTTCATATTTTTGTGCTTACTATTAGTTCTGATCAAGGGCCAGCAATTTCAGTGTGGCACCACTGGCTTGAGGGAGAGACATTTTGTCCCCAAAACTTGTTGTCTTGTGATCCCGAAGAAGGTGACCGTTGGCTTCCTGCCAGGGGCATGCACTGTGGTGACCACATTTGAAGGCTGTATTTCAGAAGTTCCCCTCCTGTCCTCTTGTGTTACATCTTGGGAATATTGAGGTGCTATGGTAACTTTCAAATATTTAGCTTTTGCAAAGTAAGGTATTTGACTTAGACTGTTTTTCCAGGTACTTAACCTACTCTTAGTGAATGAAGTCAGAGTATCATTGCAGTTAGCTAGACTGTCCTCTTCTTACTTGAAGCTGTAGGGCTTCCCCAAATCTGTGCCTTCATCTTCTGGAAGAACGCCAGGATAAAAAATAGCCAGTGACAGAGGATTTATCTCAGTCCTTGTCAATTATTCTGATGAAGAAGAAAAATCGTGCTTTATTTCTTGACTGATTTTCACTACCTTAACTTCCACCCATGGGTTCTTATTATATTTTATGGAGTTGTGCTTACATCAATTTCAGGAGCTTCAGTTATACAGTGGCATAATTACTGGAAGGCAAAAAAAAGGTTGATGTGATGATTACAGCAATATTTCTCAGGCTCATCAAGGAGAGAAGCAGCATGTCAGTACAAAGGATAAACCTAACCCACCTTTCCTCACAGCCTCTTTTTGCTCTTTTACTGTCTGCTTAATTGCCAGACAGAATTTGTTTAATTTCAGATATCTGTTTTGGTTTTTCTTGTAAGATATAATTTCTTTGGTGGAAGGAAATAGCATAATAAGTCATTTGATACCACTTGGGGCTTGGATTCCTGGCCCAATCTCTGGTGCTTTTAGAGTAGTAGTTTATAATGTGGAATGTTTTTCATGACAACCGTCTCACGCATTGCATGCTATGGCTGAAATTTTAGAGTCTTAGTCTGAAAATAGTACCCAGACGAGGACTTTTTGCTGCTCAGAATGGCCTGAAAGGAATCTTGGGTCCAATCCCCTGTTGTTTGCTACAGCATGCAGGACAGATCTCTGGTTCTGCATCCTGCTTTCAGCAGTGATATATTAAAACAATTATATATGTACATAAAATGATGTACATAAAATAATGACAGATTGATCTGTCAGTTGCTCAGAGATCAGTGCCTGCAAGTTCTATCTTTTTTTGTTGTTGTTTCATGAATGAGTTCCTGTTCAGGTTGAAGTGCTCCTTTGCACTATTTTCAGCTGATTCTTTTGATCTTGTCAGAAGGTCTCTGAGGCCAAGGATGTAGAACTGTTCATTAACGTACAGTGTGTGTTGCTGGATAATAGGATAATGGGTCCAGCATTTTAGTCATGAAGTGTCTGAAAACGATAGAAATAGTAGTTCTTTATAGCTCATGAGAGCACATGTTCTGTTCAACACTGAGGTGTCCAATGCAGTACAGTTCAGCAGGAGATCTTAGAGCTGCCTCTTCTAGAGCCATACATGAGAGATAAATATTTAAACACTTTCTGTACAGAAGACATAAACTACAATTCACTTTTCCCAGCTGTGACTGTTGTTGGCATAATTACGAACAAACACAGAGAAGGAACAATTTGATTCAAGCAGACATCACAAATATCACCATTTATAGTTTGAACAGAATTATGTATCCTGGCAAGTCACTGCCTCCAACTGTTGGTGAAAACCTATGGACCATTAGTTGTCCAGAGGGGATGCTAGCTTTGGATTTGCCCTGTTGAATAACGATTAATTTCAACCAAATTCTTCTGAGAGTCAGTTTCTTCTCAAAATCTCCCAGCTAATTTAAGGATAACAGTAACTCAGGAGGAGATAGGGTTCTTAGAGGGTTATCACAGCAATACTGTTTGAGTCTAACAATCAAGAATGTTGTTTGGAAACATTACATTCATAATAATAAAAAAAAAAGTTCTGGAGAAGCCATTATTGAAATAGTAAGTGTTCTGGCACGGTAAGAA